TACAGTATATGAACACAGTGTCTGGTTGCTAGCTGTTACTATATTTGTAGATTTTACCTATAATGCATGTTGAAAGCAAAGTGATTGTGATGTGTTGTTACAAAAGACTGATTTATCATAGTCATTTTCTAAGAAAAAAATGGAAATTAAATGTTACAGTTTTGTTGTTCTGTGTTTGAAGACAATTTACAGTTTTATGTAAAACTGTCACAAAAAGTACTTGAAATTATAAAATGCAAACATCAACCTAAGAAACTGAAGCTAAATGCATTAAAAAGTCAGCTTGATTTAAACTGTGATTATATAAATATGCTAAAACATGCAAGAATACATATTGTGATTTTAATTGATTTTACTTTTGGTGAAACTTTGACTTCATGCTTGCTCAAGATGAGAGTCTGCGATGAAGTTAAATTTAAATCCGTCTGCTCCTCAGATAAATAACATTAACTTGCTTTTTATGTTTTTGTTCAGTGTCCTGAGACGACTTCTGTTGTGACTTGTTGCTATATAATTAAACTGAATTGAATTGAACATATAAACTTAATATCTAATCCTGTCTTTACCTATAAATGTATGTGGTACTTTCTATTGGTAAGAATAAACTAAGCAGTGAACTAATCGTTGCAGAAGCGTTTAATCATTTAAAACGTTTACATGCCTTTGTGTTTTCATCCACAGCCTTCTTCATGTTCTGCAGCAGGTGGTTGTTGACTCCGCCCTCCCTCTCGTTAATGTAGATGATGCGATCGAGATCGGGAAAGTTGCGGTTCAGATCCACGCCCTGAGCGTTCGTGCGGCCCACAAACCAGTCTTTGATCTCACCAGGCTTAAAAGGAAACAAGACACATAAACTACAAAAGGATAGACGCTTTACACATACAAGCATGATTTTAAATCAAGGGTATTGGTAATTAGCAATAACTAATTCAACATCTGCAACTTTTGAAAGTTTATTCTATTTAATGTAATATCTTTGGGTTTGATATCCAAGCCATGCTGAATGTATCGTCACCTGTGAGGCCGCCTTCTCAAACCCATCAGGGTTCATGGAGGGCATGAGATGGATCCGAGTGTTCTGGATGAGGTCAATAATGGTCTCGTTGCCTTGCTGATACTGGTTACAAAGGTACTGAGCCAGGTAGATGAGCAGCTCTCTGCCCACTGCCTCGTTGCCGTGCATGTTGGCGATGTATTTAAACTCAGGTTCACCTGCAACCAACCAAAGACAGACCGTCTTATATTATGTACTGATACACACAATCCACAGATAATCGAGTATTTCCACCCTAAACTGATAATAAAAAACACATTAATCTAAAACTAGACCACTTAAAGTGATCAGTATACTTAGACATACTTGTGAAGAACACCTTCAAATCATTCTGATTTAATACTGAATTATTTAGCACACGTCTCCAGAACGACTGTAGCACAGGAAGTACACAGCACGACAGTGACGAACACACTGACTCATCAGCAGATAGGTCACGCAGAAGTGAACGTTGCAGCCCAGAGCTGCGTTTCGACAGTAATGACTGAGAAACAGAGGATTAAGGAGCGAGACAGTCACTGATTGTTTGTCCTGATGCCCAGCGCAGCCTGGTGACAGGTCTATTACCATATTCACAGTTTTACTCGACAACAGGGAGAGACTCGGTACCAGTGAGAAAACTGGCAGAATGTCAACAGCATGATGCTTACGGCACAAAACATTTCTATATACTGATCTATTGTTTCATTGTGATTTTAAGAAAGTTTATGTTATTCAGTTGATTTTTTTTTTTTTTTTTTTTTTTTGTAGGTCTAGGTGAGGGGTCTGCAACCTGTGGCTCTGGAGCCACACGTGGCTCTTAAGCTTCTCATCTGTGGCCCTTTGAAGCTTTAACCAAAAATAATGTGATATTTAATTTTATTTATTAATTTTATACCCATAACCAAAAATGCTAGTTTTGCAGTTGAAAATACAATTTTCTGTAAATTTGTCAAGGATCCTACTAATATAAGGAGAGGAACATGTCGCTTACATTTAGCTACTAAATTTATCCAACCTCCAGGCTTACAGTGGGATCTTTCTCTACAAATAAATAATAGTAATCTATAATATGGGCAGCACGGTGAATCAACTGGTAGAGCTGCTTCCTCTCAGCAAGCAGGTCTCTGGTTCAAATCCCGGTCCAGGGACTTTTCTGGGTGGAGTTTGCATGTTCTCTCCTTGCATGCATGGGTTTTCTCCAGGTGCTCCGGTTTCCTCCCACAGACCAAAAACATGCATGTTGTCTGATTGGTAACTCTAAATTGTCTCTAGGTGTGAGTGAGAGAGTGAATGGTTGTTTGTCTCTATGTGTCCCTGTGATGGACTGGAGACCTGTCCAGGGTGTACTCCACCCCTCGCACAGTGAATGCCAGACATGGGCACCGGTGACCCCCGTGACCCAAAATGGAAGAAGCGGGTAAAAGATAATGGATGAATGGATGGATACTTCAAAGTGGTATACAGTAGTCCCTCGTTTATCACAGGGGTTTCCGTACCCTGCCCCCGCGATAATAAGTGGAAAACTGCGAAGGATAGGAATAGTAGTACAAGTAGGTTTTTTTAGTATGTGTGTGTATATATATATATGTATATATATATATATATATATATATATATATATATATATATATATTTATATATATATGGCATTTTAAACCATTCCCACACGCTTGCAATATTCTAAACAATGTTTCTAGACGCTCTGGAAGAGCATAGAATGTCATAATTTCCGCTCTTTGCCATCTGCCAGCGCTCTTGGCCACGCCCACTTCTACGCTGCAGAGCGGAGATCATGACACACTGCATTCTCCTGCAGCTGTAGGCTGCACACAGGTGCAGCAGGTGCTAAATAATTTAATATAATTAATTTTAAATAAAAAATCCATGCTGATCATGCAGCTCATCCATCAATCAGCCAAGTGTGTGTCATGTCTAATCTTACTTTGAAAAACCGAGATAGAGCAAGTCTGCGAAAGTCGAACCGCGAAGTAGCGAGGGTCTACTCTACTTAATTTTACATTAGATAAAAAGACTAACATAAGCCTGCAGAGACTCGGTATAAACTTTTTTTTCAACTTTTGGTCTTTCCTTCTGCCCTAAAAAGTAAAAATACCAATAAATGTAAAAATTCCTTATGTATTTTTTGTTTTATAATGACACCCCAACTGGCCAGAAAACCCCTCCTCCAATGACCTCCAAGGGGTCCATGGGCCATCAGTTTATAAGTATGTTTTGTGGCTCCAGACACATTGTATTTAGTGAGCGAAGAGGCAGAAGCTCTTTTGATCAAAAAGGTTGCAGACCCCTAGTCCATGTCATGATATTCAAATGTCTCCAGTCCACCTGATATCAGTTGATATCAACCACCTTCAGGACCAGACTTAACTTTTTTAGACACCTTCAGGTTTGTTTCAGAGATTTTCAGATTGTTGCCATGGCTTGGTCATGGTTTGGTTTTGTTTCAAACTAAAGTGGGTTATACAACAGGACAAATATATCCAACACATCTGCAAAATCCACATCAGAATAGTTCAAACGAAGAAAAAAATCAAGGTACTGCCATGGTCCAGTCAAAGTCAAGACCTCAAATGAAACATTGTGATTGACCATAAGAGCACTGTGGAACATCTGGAAATAATAGGTATTTTTCAAGTACAGATTTATACAACTTTGGACCGAAATGAATTTTACTTACCAAAAATGCTAAATTATTTTAAACTACGATAAACTAATGCTAATTATGAGCAAAAGTTCACTGTGCAGATTATTTTACAAACAGGCATTTAGTGGTACGTTGGAGCTTTAGGGACTCGCTAAGAAAAATAAAAATAATTACATTGACACGGTAAGAAAAAAAAACCAAACAAAAGCCATAAAATTGAGAAAATAAAGTCCTAGTATTATGAAAATAAGGTAAGTACGAGACATTTTTTTACAGCTCTCGTTTATTTATTAATTTTTTTCCACGAGTTTTCACTCTGCTCACGTATGATTGTACAGCTACTCATCCAGGCTGTCACATTGTAAAGTTTGCAGATGATACAGCGGTGGTGGGATGCATCACAAACAATGATGAGACCAGCTACAGGGAGGAGGTGGAACACCTGGAGAGCTGGTGCAAAGAGAATAACCTTCACATCAATGTGAAGGTTATTCACATTCACATTGAGAAGACAAAGGGGATGATTGTGGACTTCAGAAGGAACAAACACATCTACACCCCCCTGAACATAAGAAGATCTGCAGTGGAAGTGGTCTCCAGCTACAAATATTTGGGTGTACACATGAATGACAACCTCAGCTGGAGCAACAACACCACCAGCCTGATCAAGAAAGTTCATCAGAGACTCTACTTCCTCAGGCGGCTGAGACGAGCTGGTCTGGGAAGCTCAGTCCTCACCTCCTTCTACAGGTGTGCAGTGGAGATCATCCTGTGCTCCAGCATCAACATGTGGCATGGAGGCTGCACAGCTGCAGAAAGAAAAGCTTTGCAGAGAGTGGTGAAGGCTGCACAGAAGTCTGTTGGAGTCGGTCTCCCCACCATCACAGACATCTACACCCCCCTGAACATAAGAAGATCTGCGGTGTCTTTTATCCCCCACATTAAAAACGTTACTAGAACTGCCTTCTTCCATCTGCGTAATAGCACTAGAATTAGAAACATCTAAAAATGATGCAGAAAAACTGGTCCATATATTTGTCAAGTCTAGACTGGACTATTGCAATGGTTTATCTGGATGTCCAAATACTTCTTTTAAAACGTCTTCAGTTGATCCAAAATGCTGCTGTCAGAGTCTTAACTGGAGTTAGTGGGAGAGATCATATCTCTCCAGTTTTAGCTTCTCTCCATTGGCTCCCTGTCAAGTCCAGAATAGAATTTAAAATCTTACTTCTAACCTACAAAGCTCTCAACAACCTAGCTCCATCTTATATTACAGATCTTATTGTTCCATATTTTTCTAACAGAGCAATTCGCTCTCAGACTGCAGGTTTACTTGTGGTTCCTAGAGTTTACAAAAACAGAGTGGGAGGCAGATCTTTCAGTTATCAGGCTCCTCTCTTGTGGAACCAACTTCCAATCTCTGTCTGTGAGGCTGACACATTGTCCAGTTTTAAAAATGATAAATCCTATAGTTAGGGTTGACTTGGGTTTCCTGAGCTGTCCTTTAGTTATGCTGCTATAGGCTTAGACTGCTGGAGGACAAAGTGACCACAGTTTTCACTCTGCTACTGTCTTAATTTACTCTGCTCAACCTGTTTTGTATTTGTAATTATTTTTTCTATCCTTAACATATTTTTTTGTCTTTCAGATACACCTGGACCTTTACTTGGACCTATACCTGGACCTATACCTGGACCTACCATTCTGTGTTCGTCTGTCTCTCCTTCCTGTCCTCTCAACCAGCCGGTCAAAGCAGATGGCCGCTTGTCCTGAGCCTGGTTCTGCTGGAGGTTTCTTCCTTTTAAAGGGAGTTTTTTCTTTCCACTGTTACCACTGTGCTTGCTCAGGATGGAAGACTGTGACGAAGCCAAGATTCAACTTGTCTGCTGGATTCCTTAGATAGAGAACTTTACTAATTGGCTTTTATGTACAAAGCATGTGAATGTTCCTGTAAAGTGCCCTGAGACAACTTTGTTGTGATTTGGTGCTATATATGTAAATAAACTGAATTGAATTGAATTGACTTAAGGAGCATTTAGCTTCAGATTGGTCATTTGCTGACACGCCTACTGGATTGATTGACAGGTCATGTCGTGGATCCGACTCGTGGGGAAAAATAAACAAATAAATAAACGAGAGCTGTAAAAAAAACATCTCGTACAACTTTATTCTTGTAATACTACGACTTTCTCGTAATTTTATGGCTTTTCCTTTTTTTATTTTTCTTAGCGTGGCCCTAAAGCTCCATCGTATAATGGTTTTCTGGTTATTCTGGAACAAAAAACATCTGAGTGGTACTGGAAGAAAAAAAAACGTTCAGATCAGTTACAAGTTTTAAAACATCGTTAAAATTTCAATGGGAGAAACATGTTGAGATTATGCTTTGGTTTTAGAACAGTGGTGTTTTTATTTTTTCTACTTCTGAACAGATTTAGCTTTTTTAAGGACTTGTTTTATAATTTAAAAAGATAATCTGTCAGTAGGGGTACTGTTAATGTTTCTTAGACTGTTTGA